TATATATATATACATTATTTTGATAAGATTTATATTTTATTCTCAAAAATATCTTAAAATATCTTAACTCTAAACATATCTTAAAATAGTGATATGAGATGTGAAGGTAATTATAAAGTATATAATTACAGCCATTACAGTGAGAAAATTTTTCTACAATGTAACAAAAATATAATATTATTACTTTTGCTCACTTTATGATTATGACAGAAGTCCAACCCACGAAGTATTTGGAAAATATATCGCCTTGATCTCTCCCAGTCAAGACCATTATTTTCTTCCAATTCATCAAGTATGGTATGATCAAGATATTCAAACACGAGATAAAGCCGTTTTCTTCGTCGAAACACCTCGATCATGTTCACTAAATTCTCGTGATGTAATTTCTAAATAATATCACTCTTACTAAATACTAAACAATATTATCTTATAAATAATAAACATAAACTATTCTTATAAAGTAATATCAGAGAGCATTTTATTTATCGGACGAAAACATTTAGGTAAAATTTAACGAGCGTAATTCATATAATACATTACACAGACTTTAACAATAATAAAAATTTTAATAATTAATACCTACCTTTAACATCCTTATTTCACGAAACGCCATTTTTCGAATCTGTATATCTTCTTCCGTCGCCAAGAATTTTTTTATCGCCACTACTTGCCCGGTTTCGCGATGCTTGCATTTCATCACAAGTCCGTAACTTCCCTCGCCTACTATCTCAATATTTTCATATTTCTCCATTTTACTCGCAAAGTTGGCAGGAAGAAATTTCACAATCTTTTTTAGTTACCAAAAAATTATGAACTTTTTTATATTCACCAAGAGATTTATACCCTGAAAAGCATATTGATTACTTAATTATGATATTGTACATATATGAATGATAATTAATCAGTCATTTTTGTCACACGATTACAATTATTTTTATATAATCCCAAGCTAAATTAATGTTTTATAATTTCTTTCACCTTTTAAATAATGGTATTAAATTTTTGAAATTTCCTATCGCACATCTTAATCGATTTACAGTCAAAATCTATCATTTTAATATCTTTTTACAAAAAATATTCAAAAAATGCTACGAATTCAAGATATATGAATAAACAAACACGATAATGTCACAATCTTGTGTATATTTGATACGATCGAAGAAATCACAATTCTTAATGTTACCTCGCTCGCCGACGAGCCTGAACTGCTCCGGAAAGCCTCGTGCACGGCCCTCATCGATGATTATCGATCTGCTGGTAATTAGTAAGGGGTAGTCCTCGCTCGAGGAAGGCACAGGTGAATCGGTTTAAAGGAATAAGGGGTCAAACGTCAGAAAAAAAGGACACTTCTAGCAATCTCTGGGATGCAAAATAAATATCGTCATTTGAAATTAGAATCTTATTTCTACTAAATTTTGTAAATATTATACATTTCGTCTTTATACTTTTAAGCCATAAGCCTATTACTATTCAATACTAAACCGCAACTTTCTGTCAAACCTGAAAATAGTATCACATTATTAAGTTGATAATCAATTTTATCAATAATATCATATAATGCTAATATATAGTATTTATTTATCCTACATCATATGCATAACAATCGAAAATAACTGTTATTTTACTTATCAGCGAATCACTTTTTAAATTTTAATATAATTCTTTGAGAGAAAATGTCAGAGCTATCAATTATATCGGTATTCTAAAAATGATAGATAAAAATAGATATAAATGAAAAGGTCAAGATAAGGAAACTATGCATCAAACAAACTTGGAAATAACACAACTAATTATTACATGCATTGCAAGCTGCTTTCAAGAACATACATAATCTAACTTTGATAATGAAACAGAGAAATTTCAAGAATCTTAAATTTCTGAATAAAATAAAGTAATTAAATAAGTAAAACGAAATCAAAATTATAATTTCTGAATAACGTTCGAGAAATCATTGAAATAATTAGGAAAATTCTCAAAATTCTCGAATATTATTTTGACTAAGCTGTTGCAACCCTAGAGTTCATAACAGGTCTAGTTAAAAATGTACTCAGTATTTTGTGATTTCATCTGCGTCATCAAATTTCTATTAAGAGCAACTTATTGTATTCTACGAGCAAATACAATTATTGCAAAAAGGTGTCGTAATACCTTCAATCCACTTTATCCAGCAATAAAAATACGATATCACAAGTGTATCAGACCTCAAAAGTTGGTACTAGGTGCTGTAAATAAAGCTAAAATTCCGTCAGCACTTTTATTATCGTCACTCGTCACCAATATTTACGCCAGAAAACTAGACGAAGGTCCAACTCTGTGCCTAGTGAGTCTTTTTTACAATAAATTTTTTATGATACGATATTCGCACGCATGTCAGATATCATAAGTTTTAGTCTTTAAGATAAAAACAAACCCAGATTGTCTATTTCTATGTATCTTGAGCGACACAACAAGACGTTACCGGGATGAAGATTCAATCAACTTTATTGTCAAATGTGTATTGTCAAATATTGGAAAGAATAAAATCATTGAAATGTGAAAGCAAGAATTTCGGAACGGTTTCCCTCGGTTCGATCGTATCGATAGCAACTCGGATGATCGTTCAGACAAATGCAACTTCCCTACTGTCGTGTCAAAAAAGATTCGCGTCATAGCGATTTGTTACCGCAACTCGGTGAGCGTAATCGATACACGTGAATAGCAATTGGAGTTTATTTATAGATGAGTTCGGTGACTTTTCTTAGTATCGTGACCAGAGGCATAGTCAACGATTCTTCAATCGACAAACGCGATTCTAACATTAAATAGTAAAAATACCGATGCAATATATATAACGCGTGTACGTGCATTACAACATTCTTATCATACAACCTACATCATACAACTTTCTTAGACGAGCAATAAAAGCATTCTGATTGTGCGCATATTACGTAATTATTTACAGTTTATAATTAAATAAAAATCAATTATTTAATTTAATTCATAGAACATTTACTACAATGGCTTAAAAATCATTTTCAATTTGAAATATGTTCGTAGTAAAATGATGAAAATGCTGCATAATAGAGGTGATACGTAATGTAATAATTAATAACACAATGTAATAAGTAATAACAATAAGTAATGTAATAAGTAATAACACATAACACAATTTTCTTATAATGAATATAATAATTAAAAATACTTTCCTAATAAATGTTATATTCATAAATGTAATTATAATTATTAAGGTTCCTGTTTAGGTTCCATTACTACTACTTTCATTACTACTACTTTCAAATTGTAATGTCAGAAACGAGAAAATGCACAATAAAAATTCTTGCAAAATATGTCGAAAATTCTCCTCTAAGTCCGTTAATTAATATCTGAAAATAAAATATTAGTAGTAATAATAATAATAATAATAATAATAATAA